TTGGACAGTGTAAGACATGACAAAATAATAATAATGATAAATTATTAAGGGTTCATGAGGGAGGGGAAGGGAGGAGGAAAATGAGGAGCTGATACTGAGGGCTCAAGTAGAAAGCAAATGTTTTGAGAATGATGATGGCAACAAATGTACAAAATGTGCTCTACACAGTGGATGGATGATAAGAGTTGTATGAGCCCCCAATAAAATTATTTTTTAAAAAAAGAGGTCTTACACAACAGATTTACCTAAATGCAGTGTGTCTTTTGATCTCCTGACAGCTACTTCCATAAGCATTGATTGTGGACCAAAGCAAGACTAAATCCTGGACAACTTCAAACTTTTCTCCATTTATCATGATGTCACCTATTGGTGCAGGTGTGAGGACTTGGGTCTTCCTTACATTGGGTTTTCACCCGTACTAAAGGCTGCAATTGTTCATCTTCATCGGCAAGTGCTCCAAGCCTTCCTCACGTGTCATCTGCACACGGCGGGTTGTTCATGAGCCTTCCTCCAAACCCGAGGCCACACTCTTCCCATAGCGGCCAGCTTCACTGACGACTTGCTCAGTATACGGATTGAATAAGCATGGTGGGTTAACCATACTAGTCATTGAACACAGAGACCATTCCTCAGTTGTTGCCTCCCTGGTGCTCCGTACCCTTGAATGGGGGTTGGATACTCCCCCCTCGATGTTTCTGGGGTGCTCAGTGCCTAGTTCGGTTGGGTTATAGTTGGGTGTGTTTCTTTCCCTTCCAGGCAGAGCCCGCTGAAGCCAAGGGCCTGGTCCTGTTTACTAATGTCTGGTCACGGCAGGATTCGTTTACTATGACTATGCCAGATTGGGGTGTTTGGGGAGGAATTATTTGTACAAAGGAGATTTTTTATTAAGCTGCCCCAAGATGTCATAGCCCCTCAAGGTGCAGGGTGGTGGTGGTGTGTGTGTGTGGGTGGGGCAGTGAGATGGAAGACTGTCAAACAAAACCCTTCTGTTACGAGTTAGCTCAAGATGAGCTATCGCTAGCCTCGATTTGCAGCCCAGGACATTAAAGCTCACAGAGGTCAAGGGAGCCACCCACAGCCGTAGAGCCAGTCATTGGCCAAGCGTGGGCCAGAACATACATTTCCGGACCTTCTTGGCCAGGACTTCAGCCCACAGCCCAACATCTGGTCCTTGGTGATTTGAGCAGCTTCGACATCACGTCTTCCCAATGTGCATATGAAACCACCAGGGGGAGCCCAATGCCCGTGTGTGGGGAGATTGGTCCCTAACTTTGGAGTGGGAATGATTGATCCTTTGGGGAAGGCCCACTGGACAGGAGGGACGCCATCACCAGAGGGGTGGGAGAGTCCTGGTCGAGAAGGGATGAGGGAAGGATTTGAGAGGCCGAGGTCAGAAGCTGGTTTGGAAGGAGGGAGGTGCGTAGAAGGGCATTGTTGCATTCTTGCATGCTTGGGCCCTGCCTTGTCTGGCCCTCCTGGGAAAAGGGGTCAGCTGGGGAGAGGGAGGGCTCTCCAGAGGGGAGCGTCCTGCCTCCGCCTCCATTCTGCTCGGGCTCATTCTGAGCCTGGAGCAGACCGGACATTCCGAAGTTTCTGGCAGGGAAACCAGGAAATCAGACCCGGCATCTTGGCCAAGTCTCTCAAAGTCGGCCCAGGGCCTTAGGGGAAGAGCCTGCTGTGCCTGGGGCGCCGTGCTCCAGGCTTCTGAGCACTGCCCAGCTCCTAGAAGCTCTCCAGCCCTCCTCCCTCCGGACTGTGCTCACACTCACCCCATGGGTGCCAGAGGCCTGGACAGAGCCTGCGCTCCACATTCATGCCCAGTGCCCCTCAACCGGGCCCGCGGTTGCAGTTGCCCCTCTCAGCAAACCGCTGCAGTGCTCCTCATTGCTGGACCGACTGCATAGCTTGGAATCATTGTCTTCTTTTATTTTTTAAAGTACTTTTTGCTAATTAAAAAAAAATCATTTAATTGGGAGCTCCTACAGTGTTTTGTTTTTTTTTCCTACAGTTTAAAAAAAAATTTTTTTTTTAATTTTTTTTTAAATCATTTTATTAGGGGCTCATACAACTCTTATCCCAATCCATACATACATCAATTGGGTAAAGCGCTCGTACAGTTCTTATCAGTCCCTCCACCCATCGTGTCAAGCACATTTTTACATTTGTTCCCATCATCATTTTCAAAACATTTTCTTTCTACTTGAGCCCTTGGTATGAGCTCATTTCTCCTTCCTGCCCTCCCCCACCTTCTCGCCTTCATGAACCTTGAAAATTTATAAATTATTATTTTTTCGTGTCTTACACTGACCAATGTCTCCCTCACCCACTTTTCTGTTGTCCGCCCCTCCAGGAAGAGGGTTATATGAAGATCATTGTGATTGGTTCCCCCTTTCTCCCCTCACCTTCCCCTTCCCCTCCTGGTATTGCTATTCTTATTATTGGTCCTGAGGGGTTTATCTGTCCTGGATTCCCTGTGTTTCCAGCTC